ATTTTTTTTCAAAAAAGGGGTCTTTAGGGGGGGGGGGAACAAAATTTTTATGGCGCGCGCATGTATTTCATTTAATGTATAGTTATATACATCGTACAGAAAAAAATACTTTAAAATCTCACTTTTGCCCTTAACTAAACAAGTTTCATTAAATCAATACTGCCTTCAGTTTAAATAAATATATGATATCATAATTAATTATACAATGTTCAATCCTATGAAAATATAGATATTTTTTTTAGAAACGTTTCCATCTATATTTTTCATCCTTAATCAAAAAAAGCTCTAGTGAGAGCTCCGAATTATAAATTGATTTTTCATAATTAATAATTTCTCTTCCTTTATTTTATCTTGCATTTTTTTCGCGAAATTTTTGCATTGTTTTGTCGCAAAATTTTCCATTTTTTTCGCGAAGCAGATTATTGCGAAAAATAAAAAAATAGCAAACATTTTCGCATTTTTTGCGAGGGAACGAAATGCAATAAAAAATGCGAAATGCTCGGTGAAATTCCCTTTTCGCAGTTGGGGTTCCGCAAATAGTTGACCAAAACATTAATTAAAAAATACTAGATATTCTAGGGCACTTCGCGCCCCCTTTCTGTTAACAAATTTAGCGTTTTAATGTTGCTCAATTCAAATGGCCATTTATTTTGTTTAAAAATCACGGTGCAAGATATAAACGGTGACATTTTTTCAGGTCAAAATTATTCTTTTTTTCAATAAACCTTCTCTGGGCGTGATCATGTTTGTTGCCTGCAAACAATTTGGTTCAGCCGATTGACGTTTATTATATACAGACTGACAGACAAGAAAAGTATATTTCTACGTTTATAAAGTAGTAATCTCTGTTTGTCTAATTGTCAGGATGTTCGATCATTCTCTTTCATCCTCCCTTCCGGCCCTGCACATCTCTCTTCCCCTTCCTTTTCCTTCCCCTCCCTACCTGTGATACAAAAAATCAAAAATATTTTTGAAACATCGAAAAAATAACCACGAAAACAATTTTTTTGAAAAATTGGTTGGAAATTGCTTATTATGTTTTTTTCCAAAATTTTATAAAAATTTACTAAAATTGAATGAAATATAAAAAGCAATTTGCGAAAAAATTAAATGAATATTTGCAGTAAATTTTATAAAATAATACCTTAATACCTTGAATTTTCATGAAATTTTGGAAACAATAAGAATTTTTCCAACAGTTTTTCAAAAATTTCACTTTGCCCACAAATTATTTACTTTGCTTCTTTGTTGGTTTGTATCCAATAAACGTCAAAACGTCTAAACCGTTCCAATCCAATTATTTTTGGGACCTCATATGACCCCATGGGAAGGTTTCAGAATTATGAAAATATTTTGATTGTTCAAAATCCACGAAAAAAAAAAAATAATATGTATACTTTGTTTGTTCGTCTGTCTGTTTGTTTGTATTCAATAAATGTCAAATCGGCTCAAACTATTGCGCCCGAATTTCGTATGAGACCTTTTCTGACCTCAGGGAAGGTTTATGGATGCTAAGAATTACAAAGAATTGTGTCCATAATTTTTTATAACTGTAAAATTTTGTAAATCCACGGAAACAAAATTGTAAATCCGCAAAATCTTCTCCCCCCCCCCTGCATAAAATAAAAAGTTAATCTTAGTTGTTTCTATCTTTTCGGAAAAGTTCTTAAAAATGCAAGTTTCAGTCGAGCCATATTCCTAAGAAATCTAATTTAATATGAAAGATAATTAATAGAATATTAGAAAAGGATAGGACAGGATGTAACAGGATAGACCGGGATAGAACAGAATAGAACAGGATAGAACAGGATAGACCAAGATAGAGCAGGATAGAACAGGATATGAAAAGGATGAACAGGATAGAACAGGATATGAACAGGATAGAACAGAATAGGCCAGGATAGAACAGGATATAACAGGATATAACAGGATAGAACATGAAAGAACAGGATAGAACAGGATAGAATATGATAGAACAGGATAGAACAGGATAGAACAGGATAGAACATGAAAGAACAGGATAGAACAGGATAGAATAGGATAGAACAGGATAGAACAGGATAGAACAGGATAGAACAGGTGGAACAGGATAGAACAGGATAGAACAGGATAGAACAGGATAGACCGGGGTAGAACAGAATAGAACAGGATAGAACAGGATAGACCAAGATAGAGCAGGATAGAACAGGAGATGAACAGGATAGAACAGGATATGAACAGGATAGAACAGAATAGACCAGGATAGAACAGGATATAACAGGATAGAAAAGGATAGAACAGGATAGAACAGGATAGAATAGGATAGAACAGGATAGAACAGGATAGAACAGGATAGAACAGGATAGAACAGGATAGAACATGAAAGAACAGGATAGAACAGGATAGACCAAGATAGAGCGGGATAGAACAGGATAGAACAGAATAGACCAGGATATAACAGGATAGAACAGAATAGAACAGGATAGAACAGGATAGAATAGGATAGGACAGGTTAGGAAAGGATAGACACACGTAACTTTTAGAAAGTTGTGGACAGTAAAATTAAAGTAAGACAATCATAATATTTAAATTTATTCTTTAAAAAAAAACATTTAAATCTTGAAATGCTTTAAATATCTGAAATGTATAATTGATGATAGGATAGGACAGAATATAATATGGTAGAACAGAATAGAACAAGGAAGGACAGGATAGAATAGGTATAGAATATGATAGAACAGCTGTTAGAAAAGGATAGAACAGGATAGAACAGGATAGATCATGATAGGATAGGATAGAACAGGATAGGACAGGATAGACACACGTAACTTAAAATTAAAGTAAGATAATTATAATATTTAAATTTATTGTTTAAAAAACATTAAAATCTTTAAATGGTTTAAATATCTGAAATGTATATATTGATGATTATTCACAGCTCTAAGTATTCCACTAGTTTATCTTTCTACGTATATTAGTGAAGAAAAGTTGGTTTTATTTGGTTTAGCGGAGTCAGCTTTGTTCTCATCCTTAGAATATGATCTTCATAACAAAACCTGCAGCTGCACGCGTTTTCTACTCTTATTTTTCTCTTCTTTTTTAAACTAGGACTGGATTCATTTTTTACATTCTTAGAACTTCGTTTCCTTTTTGGAGATTCCCCAGCGCTGGAACTTTCGGAGATTTTCTTCAACCTTGGTTCTGGGTTCAGGTTTAAGTTTTCCATGTAGTGGTTATAGTTCCTTAGAGAGATATAGTAATACGTCTGGAGAAATTTATCCATGTCAAACTCTTGAGTTGGATTTTTTTCTTTTCTCTCGTCTTTGTTTGAAAGGTCTAGGGGACGATCTTGAAGAGGACCAGGGAAGGACGAACTGTAAGGAAAGACGGATATTGGAGGCTGCCAAGACGAAATAGGATAGTAAGGACGGTTCTCCAGGTTGTGTACTGGACTGGTGACAAACATTGTTCTAAAGTGTGGATGGATCACGTCTTATCTTCCCTAGAGTCAGAACTGAACTGTAAACTTTACTATGTTGATACTGGAATTAAATCTAGATCTACGGTATTTACAACCTCACCTTGGGAATTGACCGGCTGGAGCTGGAGATATAAACGAACCGATTTCCTAATATCTATTCAGCGGGTTTTATATCTATTTGTCGGCACATGTATGTGTCTGTGTGTCGGTCTCACTGTTAGTCAGTCGGGGTCCTATTCTCACGCGACTAGTAAAAATACCGACACAGTCGGGGC